TTGAGCCGAAAGAATTCATCTGGGGCATTATTGACTAGCTTGAGGGCATTGAGAGCCCAATTGGAGGTATCTAGCGATGGTGCCTTGTTAGCTAGATTCGAGGTGAGACCTACATTACTTGATGAAATCAAGAAGGGTCAAGAGACCGACGAAGAACTTATGAAGATCCGTGAACGCATGCTAGCGGGACCGGTTGAGGATTTCAGGGAGAGAGACGATGGTCTCTTATTATTTCGTGACCGAGTGTGTGTACCGTTGGATGATGAGCTCCGAAAGTCCATCTTAGAGGAGGCTCATTCATCGGCGTATGCCATGCACCCGGGAGGCACGAAGATGTACCGTGATTTGAAGGAAAGTTACTGGTGGTCGGGCATGAAGAGGGAAATAGCCGAGTACATCAGTAGGTGTCTTACTTGTCAGCAAGTTAAGGCAGAACATCAGCATCCGGCTGGGTTACTACAACCACTTTCCATTCCTGAATGGAAGTGGGAGCACGTGACTATGGATTTCGTGGTGGGGCTGCCACGGACGATTAAGAACTATGATGCTGTATGGGTTGTGGTCGATAGGCTCACAAAGAGTGCACACTTTCTACCTATCAACACCACCTATGCACTGGAGAGGTTAGCCAAGTTGTATGTGGATGAGATCGTGAGGCTACATGGGGTTCCTATAACCATTGTATCCGATAGAGATCCGCGATTCACATCACGATTTTGGCCGAAATTCCAAGAATCTATGGGGACAAAGTTGAAATTCAGTACAACTTTTCATCCACAAACGGATGGGCAATCTGAGCGGGTTATACAGATATTAGAGGATATGCTGAGAGCCTGCGCATTGGAGTTCCAAGGGAGTTGGGACAACCATTTGTCACTTGTGGAGTTTGCCTATAACAACAGTTATCAGGCAAGTATAGGCATGCCTCCATACGAGGCATTGTATGGGAGGAGATGTCGTACATCGTTGTGTTGGGATGAGGTTGGCATGGCCAAACTCGAGAGCACGAAATTGGTGGAGATCACCAAGTCTAAGGTGAAGATGATTCGTGAGAGACTTAAGGCGGCCCAGGATAGACAGAAAAGTTATGCCGATAAGCGCCGAAGAGCCTTGGAGTTTAAGATGGGAGATGAAGTGTTTTTGAAAGTTTCACCTTGGAAGGGAATCATCCGATTTCAGAGCCGAGGGAAACTTAACCCACGATACATAAGGCCATTCGTGGTTCTTGAGAGGATTGGGTTCGTGGCATACCGATTACAGTTGACTCCAGAATTGGAGAAGATACATAACGTATTCCACGTGTCCATGCTTAAGAAGTATATGCCGGATCCATCTCATGTATTAGAAAAACCACCCGTGGAAATACGGGAAGACTTGAATTATGCCGTGCAACCGGTGAAGATACTTGACAGGCAAGTCAAGAAATTGAGAAGCAAGAAAGTCCCAATGGTTAAAATCCTTTGGAAAAGTGACCGAGTTGAGGAGGAAACTTGGGAAACGGAAGCGTTGATGAAAGAGCAATACGCGTTTTGTTTGAATGAGCATTGTGAATTTCGGGGACGAAATTCCCGTTAAGGGGGGTGAACTTGTAACACCGACCCCGAGCATTTTTACTTTTAGTAAAGTATGTAATAAACCTTGAAGGATGATTTAAGAAATTGCGTGATTGTAAATTTTTACTATTTCTTTTACGTGAATAGTAAATTGCATGTGGGGCCCACAGCGGGAACAGGGACCACCCGATAATTCCCGAACCACATATTATATTCATCTTGGTCTAGATAATATATATATGGTGGTGGATATTTTATTTGGGCCATAAGAAAGGCATGGAATTGACCGGTTGGTCAAACGGGGCCCAATTACCGGTATTGGTAATTTAGCGGATAACAGCCCGAAATGAGTTTCGGGGACTCCAAAATTGATGTTGGGGAAGGTACATCTATTCTAAAGGCCCATAATCTTTGGGAACGCGTCATATATTTTATTTGGCCCGATAAAATAAAATATAATTAAAACGGACCGAGAAATACAACTTTCGGGGCCGATTGTACACACCGGGACATAACGGGATGACCTCCCACCTAAGTGGGGGCCACCCCACGTTTTTAGGTGGGATAGCTGACTAAGAAATAGCTGGAGGGGACAAGCCAAAGAGGCTTGTGCGGACAGGAAGAGGGGAAGAAGTCTCATTGAGACAAAACCTCATGCCAATGCCTCATCCTAGGCATTATTGGCATTCTTGATTGAGGAGGATACATCCCCCCTATCCTCTTGCCTTGCACGACCAAAACCAAGGGAGGAGAAGCTCTGGGAATAGCTCACACCAACAAGGACTTTGGAGGAAGCAAACGAAAGGGAATTCCAAGAAGAAAAACTAGAAGAAGAGGTAAGAATACAATTTCTACTCTTTTAACTAGTTTTATGGTGTATGATTTTTAAGAAATCATATGGTGGATTAAACATGATGTTCTACACGTTTAAAAGTGTAGAATATTGATATAAAGTGGTGATATTTAACTTAGAAGAGTTGGTGAATCGATAGGAGTCGAAATCGCCGGAAACCGCCACTTTAAGGGAACTGCTCGTTTCTGCAGACCACGAAAGCCGCCCGGCTTTCGTGAAAGCCGCCCGGCTTTTGCCCAGCAGTTCAGTTTTACACCTTTAATCGGCCTAGAACGGGGATTGATCGAGGGGCTTAGCAAAGGCAACTATTTCAGCACTTCATAAGGTGAGGATGGCTGACTATATTGCTTATAATTAATGAGTTAATTTCATGAGATTACCGAAGGTAATTAAAAGTATTTTTATGGATTATTAATGATTAATAATGCCTAAAAATGACAAGACTAAATGTCTAAAGCAAAAAGGGAACATGATATACAAATTTAAGAGTAAATTGTGTATGTTCATGTATTATGAGTATGTTGACTTGAAAGTGGAATTTATTATGAAACATATGTTGAAATATACTTTTTCTTCATATCGGAATATATGAGTGATTAAAAGTGATATTTTGAATATTGAGATAAATGATATTTTTCAAAGGAAAATCAGTTGGAATTGTCTATATGACTATGAGTTGAGGACTTGGTTTGTTGATTTTAATTTGACTAGTATTAAGATACTAGTTGGACATTTAAAAGGAATGTTGTTAAAGATTGATCCTAAGGTTGGATTGTAAAATATTATGCCTTAATTAGTCTTAAGAGATGCTTTAAGCTAAGGTAAGAAAGCATGAACTTTAAGTTATACTAGGGGTAGGCCTTAAGGGATACCCAAGTTAATGCAAATATTAAATTGATCCTAAGTGTAGGATTGGCCTACGGGTGTGTTCGATAGTCCTTGTGGATAGCCGGTCGAATTATGGAAATAGTAAGGACCATGGCCCTTCCCGACTCTAGAGAGCGGGGTTGGATAGCATGGACTTACATCGTGATCACGGGTTAGGGTGGAATCCGAATCGGAGACCTAACTAGGTTCCGGTAGCGGTAACACATAAGATAGGACGCCGAAGGGCCTTACCTTCCTACGGGATGATGGGTACGAGTCTAGGGGCGGGATGTTGGAGTCCGAACCGGGAGCCTCATGAGGTCTCGGACAGCGGTAGCAAGTCCCGTAGAAATAATAAGACCCAAGGGTTGGGTTGTGCAAATGATAAATGAAAAGGAACATATAAGAAGGGCCGTGTGCCGACAAATAAATAAATTCACTTATTATAAAGATAATGAGTGGGAAATATGAATTGTTATTTATATTATGATATCACCCTATTTTGAGGGTCTTGGAAATTAAAACGTTGATTATACTTAGTATAGTTGCTATTGTACTTGTCAAATATTTCCAAATACTGACCTCCTCTTCACGAGGGAGGCCACCTCACAGTTTCAGGTAGAACTTGAAGGTTGCTACCGGCGCCCGTTGCTTCGGGGATATTCAAGGGAGAGGACGTGGTTCGTGCTTCTTCTGTTTCCTGTTTTCAAAATAATTATAACAATGCTCATGGATATTATCTTTTGAATAATTACTTTGGGGGCTTGTATGCCTAGTTATGCCAAGTGTGGCTTGAACAATCGTATTAATGCTTCCGCTGTTTTAAATGAATGTTTTACATTATGTTTGTTTATGGATGTACTATGCGTGAATGATATTCATGACGCTTTTGTATAGTATGGATGAGTTGGACTGCGGTTGACTATTCGTACTGTACGGCGGATTGTTGACGTGTCCGGTTAGGTCCGGGGCGTGACAATGCGCTTGCCTATATTCATTTAACTTCCGTCCCATTTTTTTAATATATTCAAATATGACCCACTCTATAATAATCACTCAAAGTTAGTTATCATTGATTTGAAAAATTAATTTTGAATAACTAAAATGGGACCTGAGGGATTATATATAACGTTGTTGTATGATTACGAATGTTTTTTAATTTCTTGGATTGAAATTTATTGATCTGATATGAAATGGTCTGGTAATTTGTCTGATCTCTATATATTTTATAATTATTGAAGTTTGGTTTTATATGATGTGAGTGTTGGAATAATCTTAAATTTTAATTATTAGTTATTTGGTTTATTTATTTAAGTTATGTTTTAATTAAGATATGGTTCGTTTATCCGTAAGTTTTTATTTATCAGTGTCTTGTAATAGTTGATTTGGTCTAATATTTAAGGAGATCTTTTAGGAGGTTGAGGAGATGTGGAGTATGTTCAGGAGGTTATTCCATTATGGTTCCTATACTCTTGAAGTAGAAATGGTTTGCTCTCAATTGTTCTCTATTATGTGTGAGTGTTTGTGCCGTGCTTATAATATGTAAACAAGGGTGAGATTGAAAATCGTCCTAAATCAATAAACAATCAATTCAATAAAGAAAGAAGAGAAGCAAGATCCTATCAATTAGAAACAACCCGACAAAGTGGGTGATATTTGAATAAATGAATGAATATAGGCAACAGCTTTTACCTTTTCCATCGTTAATTGGATATATATATAGCCAAGCAGATCGGAAGGCTGCGATCAAGTCCACGCCGCACTCAGCTCCATCGCTCCTCTACTATCCGGCCTCTAGCTGTATATATATATATTTGCTCGATTACTCACATCAACATTTCCACTATCACATTCATTTAATCATCACTCTCAGGAGATCATATATATCCATCGAAATGGAGTTTTCTAATCATCACTTCATAATTCCCATCTACATCATCTCTGCTTTAGCCATCACTACTCAAGAAACGGCATCCCAAACTCTTCTCAATGGCAATAATGTCGTCGGATCCCCGACGCCCGGCTATTTCGTGGCGAAACCCCCGAGGCGCGCCGGATCACCGAAACCGGCCGTCGCTTCACAGAAGTCGGCTGTCATCAATCAGTTCGTCGACGGGCACAACCGGGCGCGAGCGTCGGTGGGCGTTCCTCCGGTGACGTGGAACGAGTCGGTTGCGGCGTATGCGGAGGCGTACGCGGCGCAGAGGGCGGGCGACTGCGAGATGGAGCACTCGGATGGGCCGTACGGGGAGAACATCGCGGAGGGGTACGGGGAGCTGAAGGCGTCGGACGCGGTGAACATGTGGGTGGGGGAGCGGCCGTACTACGACCACGCGTCGAATTCTTGCACCGGCGGGGAGGAGTGCCTGCACTACACGCAGGTGGTGTGGCGGGACACCACCAGTATCGGTTGCGCCAGGGAAGTGTGCCGTAACGGCTGGATGTTTGTCACCTGCAACTATTACCCACCCGGCAACTATATCGGGGAACGTCCTTATTAGTTTTCCACCCAATAATATTAATATTAATTAATTAGAGAAAACAAATATCAGGAAATCGTATTACTGCTATTTTTTCTTTTACTTACTACCCGTATTTTTACTTCAGTGGCAGTGCTTTTTCATTAGTTTCTAGGACAATGATAGTTAATCTTCATTCATTAGTAAAGTTATAAATTCGTTTTATTTTATACTACGTAATTGTTATTATGAGTCTTCTTAATTACTCCGTATGATTTTAGACCTTCAATAATATGTTTAGTAGCTATTTTTTGGAAGATCGTAGCTAATTAGATATATGATCTTGTTGTGGAATATAATGCTACACATTTTTAAACATAATGTTCTAACTAGTCTATGGTAATATTATTATTAAAGGACATTAATAATCATAGAGATAGAAATATCAAGCTAATCGCATAGATACTTATTAGACAACAAGTTTATTGGATAAATCCACCTTGAGAGCACGATTACATGTATGTCATCACTATTATCCTCATTAATAATATGTGTTATATTCTTATACCTGAGGCATCATGATTAAGAGCTTGAGAATAAATATATTTTGACATTATTAAACTACTTTTAGACGAGTAATTGTCATAAAAGTGGTGATTAAACATATAATAAACCTTGTAGATGTATGTGAATTGTCAAGAAGTTATTTGTCACTCCTGCCTTACGGAAGAAAGGCATTACAACCAAGTATAGCTTTGATAACATATGCAAAATGTTGCAATAGGTGCCAAAAATGTCACAATTCAACATTCTTAGTATCCTTGCATCCGACTGATGTTAAAACACATGTAATGGTATCAATTCATCTTTTTATTGTCACATTATGTACTGCTCAATTTAAAAAGAAGAGTAAGGACTCATTTTGATCGGACCCAAATCAACAACAAGATGTAAAAGTAAAAATGATAAATATATTACTCTCTCGGTTCTTAAAAGAACTTCCAACATTCCCTTTTCATCCGTCTAAAAAAGAACTTCACTTTCTCTTTTTGGCAAAGAATTTATGGTTCACAACAATTCTTACACATTCTTACACATTTCTCTTTCCTCTGCACAACTCTCCATGTGCACACAATACCCACTTTCTTAATTCGTGTGTCATCTGTACTACGGAAGAACTTTTAAGGAAGGAGGGAGTATTAAAATAAAGGTAAAGGACAAAAATGTGACATTTTATAAAATGTCAATAACCATACCCTTCAAAGTATCGCTTATTAAGTTATTAGTTATGTCATTAACCTAAGCGAAAAAGAGCTCTTACAACCACCACACCCTTCAAATTATTCCTCATCCCATACTCGTAATAATCATAAGCCTCCTCGATCACTTCCTGAACAGACATAGAAAGATCTACCTATGCTTGAGCAAAATCTTTCGTTGAACGCGCGAGAGATTTGAACCAACTATCGGCATTAAAAGCTACAATACTTCTCCCCAAACAAACAAACCAATCAACCCATGTGCACAAAACTCAACCATAAGATCCGATTTCAAAACCAAAAACTAACCACGTAGGACAGAAAAGACTAACATTGAATCGAATATAACAATAACTAATATGATAAATTTCTCGAACTATCATCTTCCACCCTTTTCTACTACATCCGAGTGAAAACATTTTCGTTCAAACCCTAGCAACTCGTTCATTCCACGGAGGTAGTTGAGGAGGAGGTTGAACCACCTTGTGAATATTGAATGCCTCTCTTGTTGAAACGCTTGGTTTAGTTTTCTCCGTGGACAGAACGTTCTTGCCTTAGATTGAGTTCCGATCGGTCCTTCACTGCTGGCCGAAACCAAACCATTCGCATCCTCATCGCCCATCATCAATCTAGTGCTCTTCTGTCGATTGAGGTTATCCCAAAACACTCACTGACTTCTCTATGCGACGTCCAAAGTCTAGCGCAAGACTGCTCTATCTTCTGCTCTTCCGATACCATTAATTACAGTCCTTACTCATTACTCACTCTCCATTACATATAATTTAAAGATACATATTTGATAAAATGAGAATGAATCTTGACCATTAATAATATACAAAATTAGTTAGATAAATCAATTTTCACCTTTTGATCGATGTATTACTATAAATATGAATATTTTTTTTTGAGATCCAGTACTCGGATGAAATCATGATGAAATGCATCACACTATGCAGAAAGATCATTAGTAATATTTTTGTAAAAAACCCAAATGTAAAATTATAATGTTTAATTTACAATAGCCAATAGGTGTGATTTTTTCCGATGTACATAGGTTCGATCAATATAAACCAAGCATTCCAGCCCATCTGGTTGTGAGATTACCGTGTCTAGTGTGAGGTCTCGAGTTCAAATCCCGCTAGTCACATATGGGTTTGAAGCTCAATGGAGTGAGCTTCAGACCTGATTACTCCAGGCTCCCCCAGCCCCCCTCCCCCAGATCCCCCTGGCGTACAAAAAAATGGTTCGATCAATATAATTACTATTTCACCCTTCTATCTATGAGGGGAAATCTCTATTGACTAACCATGTAGTTAGGGATGTGCATAAAAACCAAACCATACTGGTACCAAACCGGTCCATAATGGCACCGAACTGAATATCAAGTATTTAAACGGATCTGTAGAAGTTTATCCCGAATCGAAACTGCAACGTTTCAAACGAGTACATGGCCGGTCCTAGATTTTGAGAACTGAAAAATACTGGATTGAACTGTTTAAATATAATGCATTTGAGATTTTTATATTTTTTGCATACCAATAAATATCTTTTATAGACCAACAATTTTATAGCCTAAGTATGTATTCATGTATCCCTAAAATAGCTAAATGTGTGTGTTTATATAAATTTTGTTATTTTTTCTTTAGATAATTTATGTTATATTCGGTATATAATGAAAGAATGCTAAAGTTTTAAAAATCATTAATGACTATTAATTACAGGTAATGTAAGTGTATATGACTTTTTATTGCATCATGTTACTACAACTTAATTAATATGGTTTGAACCTTAGCTCTTACGGTTCAACTATGAATTAAATTAGAACTATTATTCAACCTAGAACAAAGAAAAAGAATGTTAAATTTTTCTATTATATTCAACAATTTAATGATATTCTATTTATATTTTTACATGAATTAAATAAAGATGATATTTATCCAGTGTATCGTCATTTTGCTATATTTTTACTTAATTGTGTTGCATTATTTGAGTATTCATGAATTTAAAAACAAAAATGTCGGTCTCTTGAATCTTTTCTAGCATTTAGTATGTTCTTTCTTGTATATTTATCAACATTTCATGTGAATTGGTCGATGTGATGATATCTACTAATTACAAGATTTGTCGAAATCTTTCAACATGTGTTTGACATTGTAGCGAACAGTTTTGTACCGTTCCAAAACGACATGGTATCGAATGGTTCTATCTTTAAAACCTAATCATATCAAACTGTTAAAAACCTCACGTGTACATTACGAGTTTTGCTAATTTAAGAGACCGTTCTGGGCCGTGCTCACCCCCGATGGTTTTCCAAAACAGTAAGGAACTTTATTTTGGGGTCTGATACTTCCGAATATCATTTATATTCTTCGGGTCAACTAGAATATAAATCATTTGCTAATTTCTTCATATGTATATGTGCCACTTATATTTTATTTACATTTGATAGAATTAATTCCAGTTTAGGTTCTCTAAGTTTTGTGTCATTTCCATATTTAGTTCCCGTCTTTCACTTTATCCATTTTTGATACCTGACTATTGTTTTCTTGACCATTTGTGGTCCATTTCTGAGCATTTTTACTATCGGAAAAGGACTATATATGGTCAAGAAAACAATAGTCAGGTACCTAAAATGGATAAAATGAAAGATGAGGACTAAATGTGGAATTGGTGCAAAACTCGAAGGACCATAAGTGGAATTTCTTCCATTTGATACTAGTATTACATTTCCGCATAGTAAATGTGAATGAAATCACATAATAATGGTTTAAACTTAAAGGCCGAGTCACATGGTAGTAGTTTCCTTTTGAATAGGAACTAATAATACGAAGTAGTTAAGGTATTATTTTTTGAGGATAAGGTGGCTCCATTTGTGAGGCAAACTGTTGAAGTTAGTTAATGCCTGCACGTTTTTGGCGTACACGATGGAACAATGCTTGTGCACAATTTATGGCTTCACTAGTCGTAAGTAGGGGTGGACAAAAATACCGGAAAATCAGTATACCGCATTTACCGTACCGAAAAATACCAAAAAATACCGGAATATTGGTATACCGTCATTTTCGGTACGGTATCATACCGTATCGATTTATTTCGGTACGGTAACGGTAAATGTTTTCAAATACCGCGGTATATCGGTATAATACCGTACCGACTCCCTACCCAACAATTATTACTTTTAATTCTAGAGTATTGTAAAACTCCATTACAATTATGAAGCCCAAAATTAATACTTACATTGGTTATAAATCTCCAATGACTAAGTAGTAATGTACTAATGTCCAAAAACAAGTTCATCTTGTTCCAAGAGCGCTTGCGAGTTGCGATGACTGAGTCGCTGAGTAGCTGATGAGTGGAGAGAGGTACACTTATGTGACAGGTGTATCTACATAGGGATTCCACGAGTCGAGGCACACAACTTTGTCCGAAAGTCTTATTCATTTAAAAATATATATATATAAATGACTAAATGCACAATATCATACTACCTCCATCCCAAAATGATTATTCAAATCCAAAACTTTGTTGATTAATATATATTTTTTGGAAATTATTTATAATATAAAAATTATATGAAAATGTTCTTTGTTAAAAGTACTTAATTTCATAAAAGTATACATTTTATAACTTTCATAATATTATACGTAGTACTAATCAAAACCATGGTCCAAATTTTGAGATTTGGCTAAACATTTTGGGACAGAGGTAGTATTAGGAATAAGTGATTTTATATCCATGTTGTTTGAATAATTTTATTTATTATTGTTAGAGATCACTATTGATTTAATTATATCTATATCGTTCAAGTTATTTTAGGAGATTGTGTTGTTTTTTAATACGTGGCATGTTGAACTGCTTAAATATACTAATAATAATTATTGTTCAATATTGAGTATGGCATCAATAGATTATTAATTATATTTGTAAAATTTTAATAATGAAATAAATATGTCACTATTAACACCGATTTAGCATATTTCGTTAGTCTATGATAATTTGTTG